TGGATCGGCTGGCACTCCGCCACGGGTATCATGGTTGGATCGGGTTGCACGCCGCAACGGTATCATCTGTGGATCGGGTAGCACGCCGCAACAATGTGATGTTGAGCACAGTTCCCTATATCTATTCATGTGTGTTTTGTCCCGTATTTTCTGAGAAAGATTCATGACACCTTTTCAGTTGTTTAATTAGTTACGTCGGTTGAGTAGTTTTTTCCAGAGTTCGTTTCCTTATGTATCACATTCGAGTTTGTAGCTTGTGGGAACATTGTGGCATTATATGATATTTTTGGCAGTCTCTGAGGTGACTTATTTCCTGAGCAGCTTGTACTAGGTGAGAAGAGATTATTTGACCTGGGATCAGTGCAATCAGATTTATATGAAGCATATTAAAGAGTAGATATTGTTATTCAGTCCAGAATGAGGTAATGGTTCTTTTCGGGAGGAGAGACTCCATAAATTGTAATTCGGCAGGTGGCTATGAGTTCTACACATCTTCTCTATCGTGGCATTTCAAGAATTGCAACAAGACATATATGTGTTATGAGGTATGTTGTGAGCATCAGATTTGTGGGATTTCGGCTATTGTTGTCATAGGATGTTATTATGGTCATGTGAATAATGCGGTGCATGGTGTAAATTCAGTAAGAGTATACAATCATGTATTGGTACATCGTGAAGTGATTGATACGGTGTTCTTATGTTGGAAGCAGGCCTAGTAGAGAATTTCGGATGTTGGAATTTGGCTCTAAGGCTTATTTAACTAAAAGAATGGGGGATCTTCATATTTGCTCGAGCTAATGTGCTCAACTGAGTTGTGGTAGCATAGGTAGGTGCATGAGGTGTTAAAAAGTGATTTCTGACAACTCCAGAGCAGTTCTTAGCACGTTCGAGGACGAACATATGTTTAAGTGGGAGAGAATGTAACGACCCAACCGGTCGGTTTGAGCCCTAGCGCATCGTCCGGCGGTTTGAGGACTTGAGTAGCTTCACTTCAGGTATTATGACTTGTACGTGTGCTCGGAATTGAATTTCGAGAAGTTCAGAGTTGATTTGGAAAGAAAACTCTCATTTCGGAAGCCTTAAGTTGGAGGAATTGACTAAAATGTAATTTTGGAGTAAACGACCTCGGAATCGAGATTTGAAGGTTCCAACAGGTTCGTATGATGATCTTGGACTTGGGCATATGTCCGGATCGAGTTTTGGATAACCCAGGAGCGTTTCGATGCCTTTTATGGAAGTTGGCATTTTGGATGAATTTCATAAATTTGGGTTGATGTGAATTTCAATGTTATCGATGTTCGTTTGGGATTCCGAACCTGGGAATAGCTCTGTATGGTGATTCTGGTATTCAGAGCGTGTTCAGATGTGAATTTGGAGGTCCGTAGGTCATTTTGAGGTCATTTGGCAAAAGTTGGAATTTGAAAGTTTTTGAGAAGCTTGATCGGGAGTGGACTTTTTGATATCGTATTCCGAAAGTTGGAGTTGGTCCGTAATGTCAATTATGACTTGTGTACAAAGTTTGAGGTCAATCGGACGTGAATTGATAGGTTTCGGCATCGAAGGTAGAAGTTTGAAGTTCTAAAGTTCATTAAGCTCGAATTGGGGCACGATTCATGATTTCGATGTTGTTAGGCATGATTTGAAGGCTCGACTAAGTCCATATTGTGTTTTAGGACTTGTTGGTATAAGTGGTTTGATGTCCCCGGGTGGATTCCGGATGGTTAACGGATCGAATTTGGCCATATGAAAATGCTGAAGCTTCCAGCTTTTGGTGTAACCGCACCTGCGCAGGTGCGAGCTATGAGCCGCAGAAGCGAAGGAGAGGAGGCTGGCCAGTAACCGCAGGTGCCTAACATTCGGGTGCACCTGCGATGGCACAGGTGCGAAGTGGGCAACGCAGGAGCAGGCTATGGGCGCAGGTGCGGCGCATGGACCGCAGAAGCAGACTCGCAGATGCACTATATAGGGCGCAGATGCGGGACTGTTGGGCCGAGCTAGAGCCGTACCTGCGATTGAATTTCCGCAAGTGCGGAGCCACAGAAGCGGCTATTTGACCGCAGGTGCGTAGGTCGGACCTAGGCAGTGTTCTTTTAAAGACAGGGGGTGGACTCATTTCCGCCCCATTTCTTCATGGGAACCGACTTTGGGAAGGGTTTTGGAGTACCATTTTCATAGTCAATCATGAGGTAAGTGATTTCTACTAGTTGTGAGTTAAATACAAGGTTTATATATGGATTTAGATATGAAAAATTGTAGAAATTTAGGATTTTGAAGAAAGACATAGAAATTGGTATTTTGCATTTTAACCACGAATTTGGGCATGGAATTGGGAATAAATCATATATTTGAGTTCATAGTGTTATGGGTAATGATTATCTTCAAACATTCTCGGCATTCAAGCACGTGGGCCCGAGGGTTGCTTTATTGACTTTTCGAGCGGAGTTGAAAATTATTGTAAATTGAATTATAATGAGTATTAGAGTATATATTTATAGATTTGCACATTTATTGAATAGTTTCGGAGCGTTGGGCACCTAATTGAGTCGTTTGAAAGGCTTGGGAGCCAGCTATGGAACTTCGGAGCGAGGTAAGTCTCCTTTCTAACCTTGTAAGAGGGAATTAACCCCATAGGTGAATCAAATCATTATGTGCTTCTATTTGTGGAGGCTACGTACGCAAAAGGTGACGAGAGTCCGTGCGTAGCTACTGTTATGCTTATGTCTGGGTAGTCTAAGATCCATATCATGTTGTACTTGTAATGTTGTGTCCTACTTATTAAATTAATTATTTAAAATATTTAGAAACTCGATAAAGGAATTGTAAAAAGGTTAAACTTCATTTACTTGACCGTTAAATGGAAATTTAAAATTTTTGGAATATTTGCCCCTTAACAAATCTTGAATTGGTTGTTTAATGTGCTTTCTTTTTATGGAGCGGGTCGAACGCATCGGTAGCAGATAGATGCATCTATGGTTCGCGTCGTTCGACCCTCGGCAGTGCACAGTTTAAATATTTATGTTGGATCGGGCCGTACGACCTCGGCATGCTTTGCGCATGATTGAATTGTTTGTTTTGGAATTTATGATAATTGATATTGCTTCATTGGCCTAAGATACAAAATGATAAACGATGAAAAATAAATATGGAATTTTTTTTAACAAAAGCATTGTTTACTTATTTCATGATATTGAGGTTACAGTCGTTCTACGTAATCCATGCTAAATTATATCACTGGTATTTTATTTATAGCCTATAGTAAGTGTCAGAGCCGACCCATCGTCACTACTTCTGCGAGATTAGGCGGGATACTTACTGGGTACGCGTTAATTTACCTACTTATACTACACTTGTTGCACATTTTTGTGCAGGTACATATATGTCTAATAGCCTTGTGGGCGCAGAGGCGCGGTTATAGAGGGGACATAGGTAAGCTGCACTCTCCGCAGCCAGCAGAGTCTCCTTCAGAGTATTTATATTTTTTCTGTCCAAGTTTGTATTCCGGACAAATGCTGTATTTTATTTTACATTCCTAGTTGATGCTCATGCACTTGTGACACCTGGTTTTGGGGTGATTAGGGGTTGCCCTGTATTTAAATTGTTAAAAATATTATTATTTACACTGTAAATTCCATCTTTTTACTATTTAATTAAAGAAAATATGATTTCAAAAAAATATTAAAATAAGAACCAAATTAAGTATTTATTTTTGGCTTACCTAACAGCGAGGTCCGGCACCATCACGACCTTTAATGAATTTTGGGTCGTGACAGAAATAGTGTTTGCTGTTCATTCGATTCTATTGCGTAGGATCTTATCTGGAAAAATATTCTAATTGGGTGGTCGGAAAATTTGGTTGGCAGCATGTAAACTTTACCAGTAACAGAGGTTATAGATCTATTCCTGAAGCTTGGTGTTCCTCAAACGCATAATGTTGTTTAGTCACTACATATGTGGATTCTTTCATTCCCAAGGAAATATTTTGTAGCACTACATTCTGCTTATTTATAAAGTTTTCAACCTTCCTTTATTCGGCATTTTTCATTCTTTCTTTACTTCGTCTTTTAACTTAATTGCTTCTTCATCTTACAGGATAGAGGGATAAGAAAATTCAAGAACTGTTTGAGAAATTACAACTGCAAAAATTAAAGGGTAAGGACTTCAAAGTAGCCATATGAAAGCCTCTTTGTGGTCTTGAGAGAATTACTGATAGGGGCGGACCCACGGTGTTAGTTGCGGGTTCCGCCGAATCCAGTAGCTTTTGCTCAAACCCTGTATTAATTTATATTAAGGAATCTAATGAATATGTACAAATTATTAATTTAGAACCAAATAACTTAAAAGGATTATAGTTAGTGTTATTAATTTGATGTTTGGTTAATTTTTTAAAATATAAGTTTTTGCACCGTTGACAGGTTATAGTTGTTAAACTTGTATATTTTGGTTACGAATAAAAGCTGAAGAATTTTTTAGTTTTTCATTTGGTTATTTTTAATATCCGAGTATAAGAAATTATTTCCTAAACGAGGTACTTTATGACCGTGTGTACTAGTTGTCATTATAAATTATTTCCTGAAAAGGCAAGAGTACTATTGATAGTTGTGAATGCCTAGGTCTTAGTTGTTGGAATCATGTATCATTCTTTTGAACAAATTAGTTACTGACTCTCTATGGGTTAAAACTTTGAAGCGAAGCTCCAGATAACGGAGGCGGCATTTTTGGTTTCAGCTGCCCCAACTAACTTAGGTTTGTTTCTTTAGGACTAATGGATTTGTGATGAAAATAGGTTCGACTAGTTTGTAGTTGTGACGCTAGTGTTGTCTTGATACTGTAATAGTCATAGTCATGGTTAAAATCTTCAAAAAGATTAGTGTATACTAGCTGTTGTACCAGAAATGTGCTAATGGACTCAATTCAGTTCAGAATAATTTAGTGCATTTGGTTTATACATTTATTAATCTATTCATCATTGATGACTATAAAACTTAATACCGATGAGGTGCTGAAGAAAACAATAAATGTACAAGCACTACTTTAAAGACATCCCCTTGACACAAGTGTTTGCAGTGTCCAAAGTTTGGTCATATTACATCTGAACCATGGTCATATTTGTCAACAACCCATACAGTTTTGGTATAATTGATATATGCAAATGTCAACTCTAATATGTGACCAAGTAGTCTTTGTCAAAAAACATTGATCAAGTAGTTGGTTCATGCCTAGAGCTCCAATTGTTTCGAGTCATCATAATGTAGCTTACCCACATCTTGAATTATTTTCTTATGTGGAGTTTGGAGGATCCACTGTGCTGATCTCACCGACGATGTTTGCCATTCACAGACTAGCAAACCAGAAGCTCAAGCCAAAATTTGTGATATTGCTTGCTATTATGTCATCATATTAATCTGAAAGAAGAAACAGCCTGCACAGTGGAAGAAGATTCAGACAATGGTTCAAAACGTGTTTAAGTCCAACACTTTTGGATCCACTAGAAAATAATACTTATTAGATTAGGTGACCTGCTCAGTCATTAGTGCACAAATCATCACTTAAAAAACAACCAATGATAAAGAATTCATAAGCAAAACAGGGCAATTAGAGGGCATTGCGACAGAAATATTTATGTAAGAGTTAATCACAGAAGAGCAAACTGTTTTTCCCTGGAAAGGGAAATACACTAAAAGGTTCGTGAAAATGAGAAGATAGTACATTCTCCAAAAGAGCTAACAATATCCAACATCTTGCTTTTTCTTTCAGAAGAGCTTGGGTACTGGGAAGGAAGAAACATGAATAGTAAAGTGAACTCCTGAGAAGTTATTAAGAATAGGAAAAACAAAAAGAGATGATATCAGCTGAGTGTTAAGACTAATATTAACAATTTTCTTAAGAGATCACAAAAGTTTCTACAATTTAAGGTCTTTGCATTGAGTTTTTGTGTCTTTCCTCAACGGACTTGGTGATCTAACTGAATACAGGATACTAAACAGGCTTAAAAAGGAGATGACCCAATGGTATAAACTGTGAAAATATTCCCGTCAAGCTACCCAACTTTTTGCAGAATTAGACAAATTCTGGTGAAGATTAGTTGGAATCATCCATATAAAAAGTTAAAATATGAAACGTGATTGAACTTAATTCAACATATCAGCAAATTAAAACTCTTGTCTGAAAAGCTAGCTCTCTGTTATAGTGTATAAGACATGAAGTTAACTTATTCAAAGCAGTATTGCATTGCATAAGTTTCCATCTACTAACCAGTTATACTCAGTTGATATTTAAGCTTTTACATGTCCATGCTTTACAAACATATTAATCATGAACATAAAGACCTAATATTGGGAATATAGACATTTTTGTGATGCATATCTTCACTCAAAAACTAGCATACACAAAAGCAGAAGAAAACGCTCTTAAATTACCTTCTCTACTTTGGCACCGTATTTCTCTGCCTCCTCGTCTACAAACTGCAAGATAAATTAAATCTTAAGATCAATTACAGTCTCCTGGTAAAGAAAATCTATCACACTCTTCATCATCCTCTCGTAATGGATAAATAAAAAGCCAAAGTAAGTACGTCTAATGCTGTCTTTTTGCTTCATTAAGCTGACCTGTCCAGTGAGAGTATATAGCCTATTGTAAACCCCGTTGTCTGCTATCCCAAGCACTGAAAATAGATGTCTGACACTTTCACCGGGATTTTGGAGAGTGTACTCGATGTAATACAACCCTGATTAAGAGTGACAATCAGCAGTGGCCTTAAACTCAAAATATCGAACGTCCTCACACAATGTGCAAGTATAAAGCACTTTGACTCAGTTCATCACTTTATAAACAGAGTGTGTTCGATTTATAAGTAAAGCTCAAGACGACAGTTTGTAGTGTTTGAAGTCCATACTTTACTAGTTTAAGAAGCTCCAAATTTCAACTTTGACCAAAAACACTGTTACACCAAATGTTCTAAGATCTATTCACCAAAGTGCTTTTCTGTATAAATGAAACAGATTAAATAGCGTTTTTACTCAATCAAATGCGATTCCTCAATCGGAAGCACCCCTAAATAACATCGCGACCAGTCAAGTTTTATCGAATGTTTTAGATTGTGTCGTATACCTTTAGAAGCTTTGCTATCTATGAGTTTTGCTTTCACTCCTGCTGGCCTTTGCCAGCTTCTGTCTAATCCACTAACCTGTAACAAATCATTGAGGACTGAAGTAAGAATGCAAACTGAAGCAAAAATAAAAAAGAAAAGGAGAGTCTTTCAAAAGTAAAGATGGATTAAAGCCCACCAGATTCTCGGCAAAAGCATCAACTTTCCCAAAAGATTCCAATTTGGTGAAATCAGCACCAAGGCTTGTGATTACAATGCTGACTGAAGCAACAGATGATCAAGTTTTATATACAACAATATATTAAGTCTCAAACAACCGATCCATCACAATGTCCAACTAATACCATTTGTGTTAGAAGCTTCTTGAGGATAGAAAGCTATGAGCGACCTCACTCCATCACCTTCTCCTGCGCCTATTTGCCAATCTGCAAGTAATTCTTCAGCTCGTTACCATCATGCTTTTCCCCAAGAACTATGAAATTTAAAGTTATACATCTCAATATCTAAGCCAAAAAGATCCTATTTTTGTTCCTACATACTCCCTCCGTTCCAATTTATGTGAACCTGTTTGACTGGGCAACGAGTTTAAGAAAAAATGAAGACTTTTGGAATTTGTGGTTCTAAACAAATCAAAAGGAGGTCTAGAGTATTTGAGAGTAGAATTGGAAGTTTAAGCTAAATTGTTTCCAAATTTAGAAATGGGTTATTCTTTTTGAAACGGACCAAAAAGGAAATAGGTTCGCGTAAACTGAAACGGAGTGAGTATTACATACCAATTCTCTATATTATTACGGAATTAACAATCATTAGCAAAAGCTGAAATCGTAATTATCCCTCTTCTGCACATGGTTGCATTGATGAAGAGCAACTACAATACTTGCATTCAAGAAGTAAAAATGAAATGTAAAACGGTACCACGAGGTATCATTATCTTAAACTTGTTGACATCATCTGAATAAACACGATAATCCTCAGCGACATCTGAAATAACATTACCCTTTTTAGCAAGTAGACATTATGAAGGATACTGGGCATGTCAAAGCAGTAAAATTATTCAAAGCGTACCGTTCTCTGCCAAAGCAATAGAAGTAAAGGCGGACAGAGAAAATGCAACAGAGCCTGCCTGTAGCAGGAGCTCTCTTCTCTTGGTTAGACATTCTTCTTTAACTTGCACACTATCCAATTATTTAAATTCAGAATCAAATAAGGTAAAACAAATCAACAAATAAACAAATGTGCTTTGATCATTGATCTAGCAAATCGAAAACTGACAACAGTTAATTGTAACTGAATAAAATAATAAAAGTCCATAAAAAAAAAGATTAGTTTTACATATGATCGCCAAACTTTACTCCCTATAACAATAAACTCACAAAACTATTATGTCATATTAAAGTAACTGAGTTTTACCTACTATAATAATAAAATCACGAATGTATTTTGTCAATTAAAGTAACTCATCTTTATCCAATATAGCAATAAAGTCACACAATATTACCGAGAAAAGGCCCAAAATAGTCCAGTATTTTTGGACTTTAACTCAAACTAGTTCTATTTCTTTCGCATGGAGCACTAATAGTCCATATTTTTTAATAAAGTGGTACACTTTTAGTCTTCATATTTGATATGAAAAAAAGGAAAATATTTTCCTAGAAAATGAGTGGTTATCATTTATTTTTCCTTGTTTGGTTAGTGAATGAAAAACTTTTTTCGGAAAGTTTTTTCTACTGTTTGTTTAGAGATTAAAAAATATTTTTTAGAAATTTTTTATGCTACTTTTCTTATCCCCTCCCCCTTTTCACAAATCCCCATGTTTCCCTTGCACCCCTTCCCCCTTCCCTCCCCTCTTCCCAAACCCAATTATACAACGTTTTCAAAACTCTATTTTCTTCAACAATTTAATTATTCTTTTAAAAATTTACACAAAACCAAAGGGACTAATGTGTTGCTTTACCTTTTCTTGCAAAAACAACGTTGAAATTTGTGTTACACAACTAAAAAGAAAATACTCTTTTTTGGTTGAAAAAGAAAGTACTCTTTCTACAACATGAAAAAAGTACTTATTTTATTAAAATGAAAGAAAATGCTTTTTCTATATCATGAAAAGAAAATACTTTTTGCTACATCATTTTGTTGAAATGAAAGAAAATATTTTTTCTACATCATAAAAAGAAGAAGAATTAACCCAAATAGCCGCATACCTAACTACTTAAACTAAAAATAGCCGGCGGAGGTATAATATATGTATAATTTATGTATTCTATGTATATAATTATGTATAATAAATGTATAATCTTGTATATGGCTAGAAAATATAAGCAATGAAGAAAAGTTTGAAAAAAATGGTGGGGAAGGTTGAAAAGGAGTTTTGGATAGGGAAAACATTTTCTTCCAATTCATGAGGAAAATATTTTTCCAAAACATGTAAGCCAACCAAACATGAGAAAATTGAAAAATATTTTTTTTCATATCAAAGATGGAGACTAAAAGTGTACCACTTTATTAAAGAATGTGGACTATTAGTGCTTCATGCGAAAGAAATAGGACTAGTTTGAGTTAAAGTCCAAAAATACTAGACTATTTTGGGCCTTTTCTCGAATATTACCCACTATAACAGTAAAGTTAAAAACTTTGTGGTCAAATTAAAGTTACTTTTTTTTTCATAATTAAAGTTACTGGCTTTATTCATTTTAATACTAAATAATTAAACTTTATCTATTTTATCAACAAAATCTATCCATCAAGTTCACTTTACTGCTACTTTTGGTACAATTTAGTACAATTTAGTGACTTTGCTAGTACAGTGAGTAAAGTTCAATAACCCGAAAAAGATAAGAAAGGAAATGAAAGATACGCTCTTTTTGTATCAGGCACGGGATTCTTGCAGCAGAAGATATATGGGTTTCCGTTTTTCCTGGGACCTGAACAAGTAAAAAAGAGAAAATTAGTGGAGTTAAATGTCATACTTTCAAAGAAGATAAAGAAGGAGAATGAAGTAAAAATGAACCGTTGAAAAGATTGCAAGAGTAGGAGGGGACACGTGGCAAGCGGGAGGAGCGAAGAAGCAGAGCTTGAGGCTGGTTATTCAAAGAAGGAGATGAGCATGAAAATGAAAGCGTCGCCATTTTTTTTTTTTTTTTTTTTTTTTTTTTTTTTTTTTTTTTTTGAAGGAGTAGAGATTTTCTGTATCCAATTCCCAACCAACCAGTTTTCTGCTCTTCCTTAAAGAGACAGTTGGAAATTCCACTTTGGCAGTCTTTCTTCTTTTTTTTTTTTGTGGAAAAAATAAATTTCTTTCACCCCTATTTATTAAGCTTTTAAATTTTTTTTAAAAGAAACTACAGATACAAAGTACTTACAATAAAAATTGCCATAACCATGTTCAATTCATATACTTCATTGTTTAGATTTTTATGCCACTCTTTCTATATTTGGGTATTCAATGTTTAATACCATCCCATTTCTATCTTCCTTTACTTTTATAAATTCAAATCCATTAAATGATTTGAATTTTAAACTTCAATAGATGTTTTTCGGATAAATTTCACAAATGGTCATATAACTATGATTGTTTTTTCGCCAAAGTCATATAACTTTGTTTTCTCACACAACAATCATAAAAACATTCACTAACTCACACAAAAATTATAGTGATTGAAAAACATAATTTTTCGATAGTATTTTCTTATTCCACTTTTTTTATTTTTTATTTTCAATCTAATAAATAATAATTTAATTAAAATAAGAGAAATATATATTTTTAGTCGTTTCAAAAAACAATAGTAGCTGAAAAAATATACTCCCTCTGTTTCAATTTATGTGAACTTATTTGACGGGCACGGAGTATAAGAAAAGAGAGAAGACTTTTGAACTTGCGGTGTAAAATGAGGTACATTTATTTTGTGTGACTATAAATCATTGCATAAAGGTAAATTATTTCCAAATAAGAAAATGGGTCATTCTTTTTGGCAC